TACTAAGAAATATTTTTATATTATTTTAAAAAAATGAATTATGAATCTAACTCAATTTTATAAATCCTGTTTAATTAAAAAGTGAATTGTCTAGTAAAAAAATAACTAAAAAAAAAGTTGGTATAATTAATAAGGAATAAACTCATATCTCAAAAGAATTTTAATTCTATTTTCATCATTGATATAAAGATTTTATTAATAAATAATTTGTAAGATGATATGAAATCTCCAAATTTATTGTGTTTATGATAAACCATGGTAACTCAACTCATTAAAACCCTTTTAGAAAGAAAAAAGACCCCCCCAACAAGTATAGTGTGGTAAACTATTATAGTTAGAATTAAAGATGTATAGGGAGGCAAGAGGGTATCTCCCATAAGCACAAAACACATAGGCAGTAAATAGGCGTAAATGCGCGTATGAATCTAATAAAAGGGGTGTTATAAATCTCGTCAGAATCAAACAATGATGGCAAAGGCCCAACAATAATGGTTCTCTTCCCCTAGTAATCCATTCAAACCCCCCCCTTCTTAAATAACCCATGTTGCTTTTCAACTTCAAAATTGAGTCACCCCCATTTAATAATTTATTCAAAATTCTGGCCTTCATGATTTAAGTCTGGTTAGTTTTGTTTATATATATATTCCCCCCTTCATAAATGTGTATGACAGGGGTAAAGATTTTCAATTTTTTTAAACATTTGCATGGGCAGAGAAATAACTGGCACTCATGAATACCCATCATCATATACCTTGTCTATAATTACAATTATGCAGCGTGGTAATGACCCATCTTTATTTTTACCAAAAGGAAAAAAAAAATAAAAATAAAAAAGAGAAAGATAGTAGTTTATGATTGCATCACATCACCGAGTGAGTAACTAGGACCAACACACGTGAAGGAGTTTGAAATTTGATCCCATGGTTATAATATTTCTGATCATGGGTGAGCGTGTGAGAAGGGAAAGATCCGAAGGTGACCCACAAAAGAGGGTAATGAGTTGTGGAAGAAACTAAAAGGGAGAAAGGAAGGTTAGGCATTTAACGGGAGCAAGAGGCCAAGCCAAATGGCATGATTTGATGAACATTTCAAAGAAACCATTACTTGTTCTTTTTCTGAGGTCATTTACAATGATTTCGCATAATACCAATCCCTGCACTGCTAATGATGGTTTTTTTACATTATTACGGTCCGTAAGTGCATTGAACCCTACACGTGAGCTTAGGGCTTTGATCAAATTTTTTAGGGGACTCTAAGGGGGGACCACTAGTACAAAATTATCACACTTGTTCAACCCCATTGTCTTCTTCACACTTCACACATTCACTGCTTTTAACCATAATCAATTTTATAACTCCCTATTTCTAATTGGGTGCATGAGAGGATCATGCTCATAAATCAAATCTCTTTCATATATTTTGTGCCTTAAAGTCAAGTTTCGTACAAAATAGCAACTTCCATACAGAAACGACAGTTGGTATGCATCCCTAGCTGGCCCCTACTCTGCAAATGAAATCTAATTTACGTATTTCTTTATTTGGATATACATCAATAAATTATACTTACATCTACACAAATCTCTTGTTTATTTTTAATATTTATAACAAAGGGTGTGTATATTATTTTTATCAAATCTTCCATGTAATTTAATTTATATATAATTTTTTATAATCCGTTTTAAAAGAAGGTAATATTTGAAGGTGCTTATATGGGGCTAAGGTCCATAGACCACCCCATCAAGCCTATGGCTTGCGCATATATAAGCAAATTGTTTTCTTTAATTTGTTTGGTTATAATTAATGAATTTTTAGCTTTAACTTGTGAAGTTTAATTTTTTAGCTTTAACTTGGGAAGTTTATAGATTTTATAGGTTTAGTCAGCAAATTCCATGAACTAACTAGTTTTACATATTGTTTTAATCAAGATATTACAACTTTGATATTTGATTGGTGTATTTTGACTTTTAAATTTTTAAGATTTGATTTTTAATTGGTGTATTTGGATTTAAATGTTTTTTAGGACATTAAAATTTTCATTTTTTTAGAATGTGCAAATCTCGATATATTAAGTTTTTATTTATTTATTTTATTTAAAAGGTTTGTTGTTTACAAATAATTTGTTTTTTTTAATGTATTTTTTCTTTCTCATATTTTCATAACTTAAAGAAAACTCTTGAATTTGACATATTTTTCTATTTCATTTAAAAGTTCTAAATTTTCATTAAACTCAATAATTGGTCCATTTATTCCCAAACTTTGCGAGTTAAACACGAACAAATAATTTTTTAAATCAATTATTTTGTAAAATGAACTTATCCAATTCGTTAAAATTACAAATTCGTGGATTGAATCTTATATAATATGGACTAGTTTGTATATCGACCTTAAAGAGAAGAGCTATTTTTGAAAAAAACTAAAGGTAGCAAAAATTCTCCTAATCCTAAACTCTAAATGCCAAATTAGGATGGCTTCTTAATGAAATCACATTATTATTCGTTAATAGCAAATACAAAAATTATGAGAGTTGGGGGAATATTGGTGTGTCAAAATTTAGAATAAAATAAACAAAACTTTTTCTTTTCTCTCGACTTCCTTTTGCATTTTTAGGCAAAAACTATTTTTGTCTTTTTCTTACCTAGATTTAGCCTTTTCAGATATGAGGCACGCTTTCTTTCTTTCTTTAAAGATATGAGGCGCATTTATAGTACTATAAGGATTAATCTTTACTACATTCTGAATGCATTTTTTCTATGTAAACTATAATAGTAAAAATTCCATTATTTTAACCAAAAGTTGATTTGGACGTGTACAACAAGTATGTGATATATGATATACAGAGTAATCAAAATTGCTTATTGTAATATTTTAAAAAAATATATACATTATTTCGAGGTTTGTTGAATCCTCTTGAACAAGATATGAATATTAAGCCATTGGAGATAGTGTTACCATCTAGTTGCTTAACATGAAAAGGAAAGAACTTGAAAACTGTACCCCACTTCTGCAGAATAAATAATTTATTACCTAAACTGCTGGGTTTTTCTCCCCTTAATTATTTCCAAGTCTGGAAAAAGGACAGAGTAACCCAAAGCAAAAGCTTAAGGTCTTTCCTAAGTATGTAGGTCGTTCTCATTTAATTAACAGAGTATGTATGCTTTTAAATTGACAAATTACAAAGACAAAAAGTGAACTAGAGCTCGCGATAAGAAAAATAAATTGCTTTGTATGAGCATAATGTTAGTAAAAAGGAAGATAAAGAGTAATTGCAATTCACTAATAAGAAACGATTCCAGTTTATATCTTGAGTCAAAACTTGGGATTTAAGGCACCGAGGGATAAACCCTTGGGATTGTTAAAGGAATGACATGGTTTAGATTTGAAAATATCTTTTTTTTTATACGTAAAAATAAAAAGGTATATCAAATGATTCCACCACATTTAGACTCTATTTGATTTGTTTTGTTAAGAACTTAAGAAAAGAAGATATGAAAGTAAAATGTATTAAATTTTTTATAAGTTAAAATGAGTTTGTTTATCTACCTTAAATTTTAGAAAAGTTAAATGGAAAAAGAGCTTATATACAAGTTAAGTATGTAAATTGATTTTATCATATGAAAAAATCTCAATTATTTTATAAGTGATTATGAATAATTTTATACAAATAGAACCTTAGAAGATTTTAGATAATAATTTGTTTATATTTATATTAGTTTTGGATTGACTTGGGCCTACTAAGGAACCAACAAGTCTACATGTGTCCGCTCAACAAAAATTCACAAATTGTGATTAACTAATATAGTCCTAGTATAATCTATTATCTAAAAACACGCAATTCTAACATACAAGGTGAAAAATGTCACTCTAGCAAGAACATCATTCTCGTTATAACTTGTAATGTTAGGAACTATGCATGTACCACCACATGGGCACCTTGTGTGTTTGCAAACTCAACTATTGAGTCTGTAGGTTAATAACAACATAATTGGTAACACCAATTGGTGTAAGTTAATAGTAACATAATTGGTAACACTAATTAGCAACACCAATTGACGTATTTTCTTTTTCTTTTTCTTCACTCTCACTATGTGGCACTTAATATGTGATTTAACAGCTCTTATTAGATCTTCTGTCTTTATATACACAATTTTTTAGCCATCATTACTTTGTTATAATTCGACTTCAACTTAAGTAATGGAGTGCTCTTGTATAATTCATTATGAGCAATTGTAGTTAGAGGTGTTAAAATTAACTTAATCCATCAAATTGGTTGAATTCTTTATTTTAAGGTTTGAAAAAGGCCATGATAATTTGTCCTAACCTAACAAGTCAAACAAGTAAGATTTGACCATTAAAAAATAGGAGTAAAAAGTATCAAGTCTATTTAGTTCATATATATATATATATATATTCTAAATTACATATAAAAATTAAAAAAAGCCCAATTTGACCTAATTCAACTAGTCAAACTAGGCCGGCAAAAATATAACTCATGTATAACTTGAGTTAGGCCTACCCTTTTTAACAACTCTAATAGTAGTTAGTGACCTAAGAGCATCTACAATAAGAGTTGCTCATAAACAACTCTCATTCACTTTAAATAGGTCCCACTATGCCACATCACTCGTAAGCAACTTATATTACGCTTTTACAATTTTTTCTCCAATGGAAGTTTCTTATAAGTACTCTCACTTTTTGACAGTTCATACTTCACTTTTTGACAACTCATACTTCATTTTTTTTTATATAAATTTTAAAAAATTTAATTATTATGGATAACATATAAATATGAATAAAAAATTTAAAATATCACACAATTATTATAATGCATTAAGAAATATTAAATATTAAAAACAAAAAGTATACATACTAAAAATAAATACAATAACGGCTAGTTTACAATGGTTAGTTTTGGGAGAGAATAGGAAGAAAAAAAAGATTTTGAGAATAAAAAAATTAGTCTAATTTGTGATAATTTAACAACTTTTAAAATTACAATAATATTTATTCTCCTAATTTGCGCCTTATAAAATTGCAAGCTAATTCGTGATCTTTGAGTTGCTTCTTAGTCACCCCAGATGTGTCCTTCATGAGAATGTCATACATTGCACTAAAGTTAGCTGTTTCCTTCGCTTCAAGCAATTTTTTCACTGCAGCACTTCTCTCTAACATTGTTTTTGCCATATTATCCAACTCTTTTTTGTCAAAAGATGTTTCGTCAACCTTTGCTTTACTCTTTCTTTTTACTGTCTTTTGGCCAATTGGATGAGACATTGGTGTTGTTGGGTCATATTCTTCACAATTATTGGCTGCATCTGTGTTAGAAGATGTTGAGTATTGCCTAGATTTAGAGTTCTTTGATCTTTTAGAAAAGCTCTCTCTATTGATTAAGATTTCCATTTTGGCTCGTCTCTTAACAATAGTCATGCATGCTCAAAATTGAATTTATCACCCACATCTTGTGAGTAAATCATATATGCATCTACCATGATGTCTTTCTTTGAGTGTCCACTTTTTCTTTTATCACAAGCTTGTTTGTAACAACTGACAAACAATTGCACTGCTTTATTGATTCGAAACTATCGACTTTTCAATTGACTTGGTTTCCTTTCTGGAAATTGATTGCGATAATTGTTATAACTTTTCTTTGATTCTTATTAAAAAACTATTACCTGCTTGATCAACTCCAACCATTGGATCCTTTGAAATGTTGAGCCATGATTGAATAAGTAGGTTGTTCTTTCCATTAAGAAGCTAATATGTGATTTTTTATAAGTAGACCATTCTCCTTGTAAACCTTCTACATCAAGTGTAATGTTGTCTAACCCAACTTGAGACTCTAATATCGAGTCAATTGGTGATTCTATTTCTTTATTTACTTGCTCCACTCCTTTTTCGCTAAATATTGGAGGCCTATGCCAAATAGCAGGATTGTTTGGTGGTGGTGGATATATAAAATAATGAGGATTTGAAGAATTATCATTGGTAGAGGGTGGTGGTGGCACTACAAAAAAAATGCTATTTAGTGGGGGTTATTTTACGGAGGTTTTAAAAACCCCCTCAAATTAACATGAGTTGCGGCGTTTTGGAGGAACGCTCAAAATTGTAAAAATAATGGCGATTTTTATCATTTTTTGAGGAGGTTTATGCCCTCCCAAATAGAGAGGCAATTTTACCTTAAAATTTGTCACCATTTTCCCCCGCAATTTATTTTCACCCAATCCCTCCAATTTTGTCTACATTTCCCCGCGAACACCCTTCCTCGTCTCCCAACCCTTCCCCACCTCTCCACACCCTCGAAGAAAGCGAAAAATCTCCCCTCGAAGAACAGCTCCGTTGCGATGGGTCCTGGCGCCACGCAGTTCATCGTTATCTGCGTACCTTTCAGCTCCTTCGCCAGGATCTTCCCCTTCGCCTCCACGCACCGCTGAAAACGCCGTTCCTGATCCGAGAACACGCTCTTCAAGACTCTCAAACTCGGCGCCTTGTTCGGCCTCTGGTACCTTTTCAACATCTACTTCAATATCTACAACAAGCAGGTTCTATTCTCTCACCAGATCTTTCGCTAAAATGTTTGTTCCTTCCAAACACGCCCTTGGATTTGTGTTAATTCATGGATACGTCTGCGTAGTTTAGATTGGAAGCTTTTATTCTCCTCCTTTAAATTTAGTTCATTCAACTTAGCTACAGTACTCTTATGCATATTTTGTAAATTTCCAAAATGTGTTAAATTCAACTATTTTAACTTTTGTTTGAGCATCTTCAATTTTTCTTAAGATAAAAGCACCCCACCCAAACACTTGCAAATCACTCCATGTTTGTTCAACAAACCCCTTAAAAGTTTTATCCTCAAACTAGCAATCTAGAGTTCAAAAAGGTTTTGACCCCCAGTCTTGTATACCATTTTCACTACAAAAAAAATGCTATTTAGTGGGGGTTATTTTACGGAGGTTTTAAAAACCCCCTCAAATTAACATGAGTTGCGGCGTTTTGGAGGAACGCTCAAAATTGTAAAAATAATGGCGATTTTTATCATTTTTTGAGGAGGTTTATGCCCTCCCAAATAGAGAGGCAATTTTACCTTAAAATTTGTCACCATTTTCCCCCGCAATTTATTTTCACCCAATCCCTCCAATTTTGTCTACATTTCCCCGCGAACACCCTTCCTCGTCTCCCAACCCTTCCCCACCTCTCCACACCCTCGAAGAAAGCGAAAAATCTCCCCTCGAAGAACAGCTCCGTTGCGATGGGTCCTGGCGCCACGCAGTTCATCGTTATCTGCGTACCTTTCAGCTCCTTCGCCAGGATCTTCCCCTTCGCCTCCACGCACCGCTGAAAACGCCGTTCCTGATCCGAGAACACGCTCTTCAAGACTCTCAAACTCGGCGCCTTGTTCGGCCTCTGGTACCTTTTCAACATCTACTTCAATATCTACAACAAGCAGGTTCTATTCTCTCACCAGATCTTTCGCTAAAATGTTTGTTCCTTCCAAACACGCCCTTGGATTTGTGTTAATTCATGGATACGTCTGCGTAGTTTAGATTGGAAGCTTTTATTCTGTTTCTGATTACTGTGCAGTTTGTGATTGTGTTGTGGTATGTTGTGCGTTAGGTGAGAGGAAGTGTGATAGGAAATGATTGATTTGAATGTGGATTTATTTTGCAGGTGTTGAAGGCGTATCATTTTCCGGTGACTGTGACTCTCACGCAGTTTGCCGTTGGGACTGTTATTGTGGCGTTAATGTGGGGTTTGAATCTGTACAAGAGGCTGAAACTCAGTGGTGCTATGGTATTTTGGACTTTGATGTGTTGAGTTTTGTGTGTTGTTGTGTTCTGTTAGGTGTTTGTTGATGTTGGATTTGCTTGTGTGTGGCAGCTTGGAGCGATTTTGCTGTTGGCTGCGGTGCATACTTTGGGGAATCTTTTCACTAATATGAGTCTTGGGAAGGTGGCTGTGTCTTTCACTCACACGATCAAGGCCATGGAGCCTTTCTTTTCGGTCGTCCTTTCTGCCATGTTCCTTGGAGAGGTTAACTCGTGTTGCTTATTGTGATTGATCTAAAGTAAATTTTTATAATGATTGCTAGCTGCTTTTGTCGCTGTTTAAATTTAGATTGTATTTTTTTTGGCTAACGAATTATATTGGTATGTTTCTCATGTAGTTGTCTGTGAGTTGCTATGTATTGTGAGCAATTCCTTTGAAGGGGAAATAAAATTGGCTAACGAATTTTTCCAATTTCAACTCTTGAATTTACTTGTAGTCTCATAATATGAGACAAAATCTAATCAAAATATTATTGGATATATAAAACTTAAATTAGTTTGAGTTTACTGCAAAATGTATTAAAAGATTTTAAGGTCCCCAATGCAACCCATTTTGTCCTTTTCTCCATAATATTAGTTTTAGAAAGTAGAAATGCACTATAAGTTTGCTTGGATACAAATTTAAAAACGTTTTTGAAGGTTTTTCTATTGAAAAATGCTATTTATTTTTTGGTAGAGAAACTCTTAAAAGTATTTCTAATTTATATCCAAAAAGACTCAGTTTATAACTTTGGTTTAAGTGTGTAAGTAATGTCAGTTTAGCATATAAACATCTTGATAGTTGATTCTTGTAGCTAGTGCCTAATCTTTGCCACATAAATTGCTTCTTGATATAAATCAAAATTTCATGCAGCCCATTAGATTTTTTTTCTTTCTTTTCTATCTGTGATGTCTAGTTCCTTGACATCCAAAGAACTCTTTGTAAATTTTTTATGTTGAAGCCTTGATGTTATTCAGTATCAGGCAGGCATTTTTACTGTGGGGGGTATTATCATAGTGAAGTTAGTTTGGTTAGTTAAATGAGTCATCTAGTTACTTACAAATACACAAGTGTTTAATTGTTATTCTTTTACTTTCTAGTCTTTATAAGCCATGTATTAGTATTGGATCACACGCCCCTTGTTAATTAGCTAACTAAAGAAGCTTTTACAATATATTGGAAATTTATATAGAAAGTTATTGATGTTTAGTTTGAAACAGGGATTAATGGGGGAAATTATTGACAGGACACCCTATTCATTGGTCCAAGACTGAAGGTATTCTCAGAATGGCTACTGAAATACATGGTTTCAGGTAACCTGGAAGCAATATTTCCAGCTGCTGCTTGTGAATATGCTCCACTGGTGGAAGAACTGTGGAGAGATGCAGCCATTCAGGCCACATATAGTAGGAGAAATGAAATAAAAAATTTACCAACAAATGCTAATTATTTTCTAGAGCGAGTAAGATTTGTTTTGCTTTCTTTATATTCATCATCGCATTATAATTCATTTGAACTCACATAACTCATTAATATTTAATGCAGCTTTTTTTCTTTCTTTTTAAATTATTCTATTTTTACTTTGTTGCCATTTTCTATATCGTTCTGTTTGTCAATAGAGTTGGAATAACTGATTTGACACAATGTAGACTGTTTATAATGGTTTATCACTGTATAAAAACTGTTTATCTTTTCTTTTTAATCCCATTTGGATTCATGAAGTTTCTTCCAATAAGACACAAGATTTCCACCTTAATCACTTTAGTGGGAATTTTGTGTGGATATTTGTAACATAGGATTACCTCAATCACATCAGAATCTAAGTATTTATTTGGATGCAGGCTGTTGAAATTTCCAGCATAGATTACGGACCCTTGGACATGGACATCTTGTATTCTGAGGGGATAACCTTATCCAATAGTCTTTCTTCTATGGAATTTTCATTTACTGTGTCAGGCCGTGAAGACTCATTGGACCCTTCATATCAACATGACCCTTCACTCAGGTCACCTTTCATTTCATTAATTTTAAACATGATAATATATTACTTTTGAATTGAGCTCAAGTCTAGTGAACATCCAGTGATAACAATCTTCAGCTTTTAAATAATGCATAGAATCTTTTTTTAATTACAAATCTTTGGTTTCTTGTTTGGATTATGTTATGACTACCTCCTTATTTTTTTGTATACATGTTAAATGTAATTTAGATTAAAAAAATAAAATATATTGTGAAATAAAAAAAACATCATTCAAATTGAGGAGGTCAAAAACCCCCGCTAAACAAAACGCCGCAGAATGGAAAAGGTAGCGGAGGTTGGTAAAAATCGCATTATAATGCTAGTGGCGAACGTAACTGCGGCGTTTTTATAAAACGTCGTTACTTATTTTGAGGAGGGCGAAAACCGCCGCAATATAAAAAAAAAACGCCGCAAAATGACGAATTTCTTGTAGTGTGGATACATAAAAATATGATGATTTTGAGAATTTTCATCGGAAGTGAGCGGAGGTGGTGGTTGATTTTGCAAATAGTTAATGTAACTTTGCAAATGATATTGATTTTGATCCATATGCAACAACACTAAAAAAAATTAGAGA